TTTTCTTCAAAAAATGTGATTTTTTTCCCTAAAAAAATGCTTACCCGGGAAAAAAAAAAAAAATCCCCATTGTCTCTCAAAAGAAAGGAGGAACTTAGATGAAAGCTAATGTCTTATTTTCAGATAGAGGACCTGAGAACTAAGATGAAAAGCTCTGGAATGCCTTGGCCTGGTGATGAAGGTGAACAACGATGGGAGCAAGCATGGAGGGCTATAAAAAAAGTAAGACTCATGCCTCTATTAGTCTATAAAACACAATGCCTGTATTAGACTTTGATACCTGGTTTGTGAAAGGTGGCAACTTGATCAAAAGTAGAGTTTCCTGCTCTTATATTAATTACCATACTTCACTGCACTTATAATTCAGGGTGCTTCTCTATTTTACACTGACAATTGTGCACGAGGCAATCTATGAGGGAGATCATCCCATGCTATTTCTGTATTCTTTGCATCACCATAAACTTTTTAATTACAACCTTCGATTCTTAATATAAGAACTAGTTGGAGATTCAATTTGGTCCTAAATATAAGATCCTAATTCACTTTGTCTCTAATATTTATTCATTTTTGCCTTCAACTAATCCCTATAGTGATTACACATGTGAACAAGTTATTAGCAAGAGGTAAGTTAAATGAGCATAATTAATAAGGGTATTTTAGGGGAGACAATATCTATTTACTACAAATACCTAACTTAACTAATTTCATTAATATTCTCAAATTATTTACCTAACTCTTTTATTAAGGACCGCAAGTAGTAATTATTATTTCTGGGAATTATTGTCATATACTTATAGTTTTGTTGAACACATTACTATTACCCTGGACACTAACAAAATAACTGATGGTCCTTTGCTGCTATTGATAGCATGCTAGGAGGCATTCAACCGAGGATGTACTGTTCCTCATATCAACTATATTCTATACAATAGTCTGTACTCTTTTGGTCATCTTCCCATACATCCTCTACATTTGGCCTTCCTTGTTCGCTCTTTTTGTTTTTTGGCCAGAGTTTGCTATTTATTTTCAGACTTTATGCTTTGTCATTCATTGCTGAAGAGAATTCCGGTAATGGTTGACCAAATTAGTTGTGCCCCACAAACTTTAGAAGATGTATGGTTGGTGTAACTTGCTTAAAATTGCAGTTTCATATCTTTGTGGTATTTTTGTATACTGTTTCTATTGCTCGTGAATATTTTCATTTTTATTTCATCTTCATTAATGACATGAGCTTTTGGATTCACAAAAGGTTTGGGGTTCTAAGTGGAATGAGAGAGCATACTTCAGCACAAGAAAAGTGAAACTGGACCACGAGTATCTTGCCATGGCTGTCCTTGTTCAGGAAGTTATTAATGCTGACTACGCTTTTGTCATCCACACAACTAATCCATCTTCAGGGGACTCATCGGAAATATATGCTGAGGTATATAATAAAACGATGCCGCGTGTTCATCATTTGAAAAGAGTGCGTGAGAAAAGACATTGAATCTGATACTCCTTGAACCTAGGTTGTGACAGGACTTGGAGAAACTTTGGTTGGAGCGTATCCTGGGCGAGCTTTGAGTTTTATCTGTAAGAAGCATGATCTGAACTCCCCTCAGGTAATCATGATACATTTTGTTAACTATTTTTGTAATATGTGTTTATATATTATCTAGTTCTTGATTAAGCTTCTAAGTATCTGTGGATGGCTGATTACCTTGTGTTGTTTATATATAACTGTATGATAGTAAGTTTATGAAATGCCCTTTTCCTGTATATGTTCCATCGACATGCCATCGTTGCTAATATTTTTGACTTTTTTAGGTACTGGGTTATCCTAGTAAACCTATTGGCCTCTTTATAAGACGTTCAATTATTTTCCGATCTGACTCCAATGGTGAAGATCTAGAGGGTTATGCTGGTGCTGGCCTTTATGACAGGTAAATTTTTCATATTTCTGAAACGAACATCTTTAGAAAAAAACAAACAGAAGTTTTGGGTTATTTATTTGCTTGAGTTGAAAAGGCTGAAACAGGATGAAACGAAGTAGAATCAAGATTTAAACTGTAGAATTTAGATTCTTAATATGTTAGATATGATACTAAGCAGGCATGCACCTTTTATGTGCTAAAAATTTCATATGTGAGATCAAACTACTAAGTATAGGGTAAAATACTCTAACTTCCCTTGTATTTACCTTAATTACACCGACCTTTTTTTTATTTTGAAAACATATACTTAAGTCCCAATCATTAACTCCGTTAAAAATATTCTTTAAAAAAAATACTGTTTTAATTAAAAATTATACTAAAATACTTTTTATTTACTAATTTACCCTTCATTACACTAAATCCCTAAATTTGGCTAAAAAGTTTTGAAGAATTTAAAATTTTTACCTTTCCTTAATTTTATTTTTTATTTTTACAAATAGTTATTTGTTTAGTGTTTTTGTCATATTGAGATGGAAAATTAATTAATTTAGTTAATGTAGACATAAAAACCTTGAATGGAATTTTGATTAATTCTTTAAATAAATATATAATAGATTAAATATGTTATATGTGTTTCAACAACTTAGACAATTTATATTATATAATTAAAAATTATTTATTTAGTATATTTTTTAGCCATTTAAAAGAAACCTTTATATGGTGAAAAATTAAAATTATAAAATTTTATAATATAATCAAAATTAACACATTTTATTGCATTTTAAAATTTTGAAAATACATGTATTAAAATTATTTTTTTGTTGTATCAAAAATTATTTTTTTGACAAATATAAATATCTAAATAACTTTCATGTTAAGAAGTGGTATTGGTTAAAATAGAAGTTTAAAAGTCAAACTTAACAGTCACTTTACGGTTAGATGGATTGGGTGAATGCAAATGAAATCTCATATATACAAGGGACGTTTGTGTAACATGTATTTGAATTTCAAGAGAGGTTATATTTTAACTAAAATATAATTTAGGTAAAATATAGGGGTAATTAAAGTATTTTACACTTAAGTATAATATATGTCTTAAAATATCTGCTCATTTCAAACTCCACAAGGCTTGAAAAGATATTCACCTTCTATTTAGCTCACTCCACATAGTGGGATGATGCTTCTTGTTATTATATTTCGAGCTCCACAAGGGAGTCAGTGTCACAGTTTGATCGGTTTTTCACAGCAATATTTAGGAGCATCTAGTTTCTTTTTTTCTTTTTTTTTTTAATACGATTCTTTTGTGTCTGATATTATCGGATCTGAGAAAAGTTGGGTTCAACTAGGAGCATCTTTTCAAATGTGATATTTTCTATCTATAAGGTTTGAACCTTCGACTTTGTACAAGAGAAAGCACCTTGGTTCTTGGTTGGCCATGTGCTTTATGGCCAATGGTAAATTTTGTATCAACCAACCCTCGGGCATGCTCAAGGGGGCTGGCCAGCCGGGGTTGTAGAAAACACTAATGAAGGCCAGTGAAAACTACTGACATTTATCTTCCTTTTACTCTTAATAATCATAGATTTCCTTTTTCTCTGGATTTTCTGTGTTAATTTTCAGCTTAGGATATTAGCTAAATGAATTTTTCCTTATACACAGTGTGCCAATGGATGAAGAAGAGGAAGTTGTGATTGATTACTCATCCGATCCCCTGGTAGTTGATGCTGGCTTTCGCCAGAAGATCCTCTCCAGCATTGCACATGCAGGAAGTGAAATTGAAAAGTTGTATGGCTCTCCTCAAGACATAGAAGGTGTCATCAGGGACGGAAATCTTTTTGTTGTCCAGACCAGACCACAGATGTAAGCCTCTGTACATACCCAATTCACTTACCCTCCCATGTTCGTCCACGTGCAATTTGCTGCTTTAAAAATGAATGGAGAAAGCAATCTGCAACTCTGCTGATTACCAAATTTGGCTTAAAGATTCAGTATAGGGATAGTATAAAGAAAGTTACACAAAATGTCAACTGAACAGATTATTTTCTTTTTTATGAAAATTTTTCTTCTCAATTATAGGAAATTCAGGTTTAACGCGCCCCTGGAGACTCTGTTCAATAATAAGACTATTCATTATGAAATTTATGGCTGTAATTACCTTCCGCAACAGTAGTTTTAAGATCAAATATGTGTACCGCTAAAGCTGAGGGTTTTATGAAACTTGTTGTTTCGTACTTTCTTTTCTGCTTGCACTTGTCTCAGATCCTTTCTGTAGGGTAACAGTACATGGTCCCTTCTAACCAGTAACCGTACATGCAGTACTGCGGTTTTCAATTATTTTCCCTGCAGCGAATAACATAAGCTCACCTGGTAATTTAAGGTCAATGTCCCCTTGCAATTTCATTTAAAAGGGAATAGAGTGTGCATTCGTCATTTAAAGGCCGATCATCCAAGATTTCCGTCCCTTTGATGCATTCTGTGGTGTGTGACGATCACCACAGCTTGGAGTTGGACGTAAGGTCGTATTTGAGCCAACAAATGAATAATCCATCAGAGATTGGAATGTTCATGCATTGTTATTATTACCTCCCTTTCATGCCACAAAGTACCTTTACCTAACTCACTTATTCACTTCTGTACCCACTTCTGCACCATTCCATAATTTAAGAGTCTGAACCCCGCCAATATTTCCTCACTTCATTAGTTTCAGGTGACCATACCATAACCTTTAACACCAAGTATCCATTTCTTCAAGTACTCCCCCCAGTCTTTAATATAACAACTGCTTAACTAATTTGAATATATTAAAAAAATCAAAAGAATTAGTTAATTATAAAAAGTGACATGATTTTTCTGAACTATTATAACATTATATTATACTACAACTATAAACGAAATCTTATAATTAAGATATGAGGTAGTATATCAGTTTGTCAGTAAGGTAAATTAGTTTGTGAAAAATAATAAATATGAAAGATAATGTGAATTAAGGCTTAATGCGTGAAATCAAATCCAACTTCCCACTAGTTTTTATGTTAGATATTAGACGGGGCCTTATTAACAACACAAGGACACACATGAACAGAGAGCCTACTGGGAATGGGGACAGCCCAGGACAAAGGGTCCTGACACATTGATCCACACTTCATTTAATCGCCCAGAAATATGACGAGAATCATTGTACTGGGCAACGGCATAGGTCCCTTTGTCTTCTATAGTGGCTGCTCTCCCACTCAAGCTATTTATAAGAGCTTCAACTTCTGTGTTAATATTATCGTCTCTGGCAAACCCACTGAACTTTCTTACTGCTATGCAATGAGCTCCCCACTTTTCCACCTTCAAATTCAGTTCAGGATTTGGCTCTGGAGGTTTCCCATGATACTTTGCAGACATATACGACATTACAACATAGTCATTCCCATGTGATGATGTTGAAGAGGTAATGCTTGTTAGCATAGGAGCAGTAAAATCCAGTCTAGAAGAATCCAGATTACCTCCATGCATATATTGATACAACCTGGAGTTTGTGTAGGAGAAAAACATGATGAAGATAATGTTACATTAGCAAACTAATCCAATGTTGCAGATTTTATAATTATCTCATATCCCCTCCTCCCACAACTTATTTTGGTTTAATTCGTGATCACCACGAAGACTTACTTCATGATTTTGACTACTTAGTGACTAGGTTTATTTAACCACTTTGTTTTAGAGGTTTGAACTTACTGTTTCTAACGCCTGAAGCTATTCTTTTCTAGCAATTTTGAATAGACAGACCTTTATGTATCAATCAATCTTGCATAAATTCCCTTTTATGCTCGTTTACTCCAAATCATCACCCCAAGATAATCCAAGTGCTGATCAATTTCCGTGATAAGTAGGATTAGTATAGCATATTAATCCTATATAATCTTTCCTCTGGAGCATAGCCAACTACACATACAAGAAGACTCACTGAAGGAAAAGAAGAAAAACAGAAGAGAAGACAAAAATAAACCTATGAAAGCCAATTTTTGTGGACTGGCTGAAAGATGTTCCTTGTACACGAGCTGAGAGCCATGAGGATTCACTGTAAAGTCTGATCTCCAAGTCTGATTCAGAGGCCGCCACTGTGTAATTTGGAGATTCTATGGCTTCCACAAGCTTAGTGCAACAAGTTGCAATGATGCAGACGTGGTAATAGAACAAGTATATTAATGGTGCTTTCATCTTTTCCTGCCCTGTCTTCTCTGCAAATCTCAACCCAACTTTAAACCTTACTCTTTGTTTTGACATAACCAACTCTGATAAATAAATCAGAACTTGGCAGATATAAACAAACTGAATAAAAGTTTATCTTGATAATGATTTTTGTAATGCTCTTTCTCCCCTGATGATGGTAGCATAAAATACTGATATTGAAATACAATCTGGATTTGGTGCCCGCATGTCTTATCTGGATCATCCAAATCAAATCTAGACGGTCTAGATCTTATTACTTTGTTTTTTAAAGCTCGTTCTTCAGTGATGATGGTAGCAATTAAGTGCTAATACTGGTAGGTTTGACTTGCAAATAAAGGATTGAGATTATGTTTTTCAGGTTCAATAGTTGAAACATAAGTGATATTATCCCCACCACAACCTGATTTTGTTGTCTCCCACTTCTTCTTCTTCAACTCTCAAGTAAACACTAATACATCCACTATGTAAATGCTTTCCTATTTCAGCATCAAAACCGGATATGGAGACTCCATTATTAGCTTTAGTGGTATGATCAGAAACATATGGATGGAATCATAAGTGGCCCATTTCATAGTCCAATAGCATCTGTTTTTTTAACCAGCATAGTCCAGTAACATCAATTATAAAACCTATTGTATAGTATAAATTACACTATAAAATGAGTCTTATATTTAGGATTGGAAGAGTACTTGATAGTGACTTGAATAAGATTGACTTCACAGGAGAATGCACCTACCCACTAGCACAAAAAATTGTATGCTTTACATTTCTAACCAAACTGATTTGACCGATTTCTAACACCTTGGGAGTCAGGATCACAAATTAACCAAGGATTGCACTATCGTGGCACAATCTCGAGTCGTTTCACTCATGGAGCCTTAATTAAGTCCTAATAGCTAAGTATCTAAGAAAACTTGTAAAATTGGGATTTGGTTGTTGAAAATCATGTTGAGAAAGATGAAAAAGTAATGCAATGGAAATACTTGTTTTTGAAGTTTTCGTTATAAAAGCAGTAAAAATGAATGGTTTGGATTAAAGGGTTCAATAAAAATGTCTTTGACAATAGGGATTGAGCTATCCTTGTTCTTTCAAAATATTTGGGAATTTAAAACCACTAAATCTTAATTAGAACCCTAAATAATCATTTAAGTCTAATGTCTGAATTAGTGAAAATTATTTTGATCAAAACGAATTAATACCTTTTCAAAACACTGTTGAAAAACCACTTAGTGTGTAAATGAAAGGAATTTGCAATACTCTCTCTTGGTTACCAATCAACACTTAAGAGTCAATGGAAATCAATCAACTAACAATAATGATTACAAATCAATCAAAAGCAAAGGGTAAGGAAGATATAGCTATATAAAAATTAGAAACACATTACATCATTCAGTTCATATACAAGTAAATCAATCACAAAGAAAAACTTATCAGTTATCCAAGGCAGTAAATATGACATTCAACCCTAAATTTAGAGGTTCAAATACATATAACTACAAAGATTGAAATAAGAAACTCCCCAGTTTAGCCCATGAGCTCAAGCTTGCATCCCCGTCACCAAAGATTACCAACTTCAGCCACTCATGACTCTAATCTTGATCCAATCAGTTTCAGCACTCTTGATAGCCATGAAGGATGAAATGGATATGGAAAGGTGGTGTAGAGATGGAATGGTGAAGAATAATCGACTTAGAATTAAGAGATTGGTGATGAAATGATGTAAAAATAAAGAATTTTTGGTTAGGAGTGGTGGAGAGTTGAGAGGAAATGAGAGAGGGTAATTCTGGATGAGGAAAAATAGCTGGTTGCCTCAGTTTTCGAGCCTTTAACCTAATTTGGAAGCCCCTAGGGTCAGGTAAATGAAACTCTGTGTTTTGTTGTCCGAAGGGTTTTGCCGCAGCTAAACAAATTCTTCATCGCAGTGAAGGGATACAAAGAGAGGTTATTGGGAACTTGATGGCTTTGCTGTGGCAACGGTGCACAGTGAGGGTGATTCCTTCATATTCTTTTCTTGGCTTGGATTCCCACATCTTTCTTCACTTTAAGCTCCCTATGGTGCTTTTCAAGGTTTTTTGACTGCTTCTTTGGTTCTCCAGATCCCTTCATTTACCTACAACATCAACATGATTTCTTATAATATCTAGTTCCTCATGATCCAAGATAAATGAAAATTAGCTAAGAGTCATTAAAAACAGTTGAAAAAGTATGAATTAAATGCAAAAAGATAGTGATAAGAATTGGCTCAAAGATAGGTAAGAAGTGTGTGAAAACACTTCAAGAACTTTAAAAATAGCTCAAGCAAGAGTGTAAAAAAATGGTCCCAAAAAAAAAAAAGGAATTTTGGCACATCCATAAGCTATTTGAGAGAAAAATAGTTAATTGTAATTAAAGTAAATTCCCTGCATTAGCTGAATGCCACTAAAGTTTATAATTATTGTTTTATATTGCTACTGCTCGGGATCAGATTTTTCTGCAACCAAAACGTGGTATGTAGGAAACTGAGAATCATCTTTTAAAAGACGTAATAATGTGTGACATGAATACTATGAATTTTCACAGTTTTAAATTGACATAGGGAAAATGATAATTTAAGTCTCAAAATAACAATTTAATGATAATTAAGTTCCTGAAACTTTTTTGTAAGAAATAATTTACAAATATCAACTCAAACAGTTACAAATGAAAATCCCAATTGCAAACTAAGAATTATATTTAAAATTTAAATACCTAATTTGAAAATGAAACTTTTGTATTTTTAACTGTTAAAATCGATAGTTGAAATTGATTCTTCTAAAAAGTTTGTGAACAGAGTAACTATCATTACACACACATATTAGGACTTGAGTCATTACTCCAAACAAAAGGAATCGTGAGCAGTATTTTAGGAACCCTTTAATTGAAGTGACCGGTTTGTTAACTGCTCTAATGACATGAGATAAAGAATGTATTAGACTAGAGCATGAATTATAAGTCCAACAAAGCAAAAGACTGCCGAGCAAAGAAGACAGTTTCCCCCCCCCCCTTTTTTTGACTAGGTATAAATATCTTCCTATTAGAGGCAATTTTTTAAAGTATTATCAGGTACTAAATATAGATACCTTTTCTAATAAGAATTCAAATATTGATTCGTTATATTATAAGAAACTATATACTTCTACTAGGCTTAACTCTGATTGATGAGATAGTTTTAAATGCTAATGACTAGTTTTTGTTGGTGGGCATGACGGAATCACACAAGCAATAGTGGGCTTGTTGGGCTCACCCATCCATTCTTCCATGCCATTCTGTACACCTTAATGGGACTTCAACTGGGCCCTGGAGCCCATTTTTTTGGCCCATGATGGCCATAAAAGAGAAACCAAAACATTGATTTAATCAGAAACCAATCGTGCTATTTTTTTTTTTTTTTATTATAACCCATGTACCTATTATACACTTTACAGAAGGATCGAACTGACAACTTTACACTCGAGAAAGTCTTAAATGAGACTTTTGATATCATTTGCGCTACAAGGCTTGATAGAACCAAATGCATCTCAAATTAAGGAAAACAAGTTAAGAACTGTTGACATAGATTTTATTTGTATACACAGAGCGAGAGATGAATGAGTTTAATGAAAGGCCATCATTTGAAGTAATGTTCATTATGAGTTGTCCCCATAAGTAGCAGTCGAAACATGTTGCCCTTGAATCAATGTCTATTGTAAGAGAAACATCATAATGACACAGACGATCGATGATGTACCACAAGAGAGTATGGCCCCTGATATTATGCTAGCATGCACTAAACCCATCACCTTCCACAATTCAACATTCTAGAGAGAGAGAGTGGTACCATCCAATACGTTTGGCCAGAAATGTCGAGTTCATTAAATTAATTAAATCTCCCCACTTTCATAAAAGAAAGCGATGGTTGAGCTTTAATCTCTCTTTCTGCGAGAAGCCTATGATAGGATTAGGCCAATTATGGTTTAAGCAGACACACTAACCCTAATTACGAGGAGGTTGGGGAAATGATTCAATGGCTGTGGATATATATCTCTGGAAAGCTGAGTAGGGATTATTAGGGTTTGTAAAGCTGATCTCGTTTACATATATATATATATATATATCATATAATATATATACAGCCCCTCAGACAAAATCATTGATCCATGCTTGGACTTGTATTCTTTATATATATTAGGCCGTGTACGTGTTCACCAACTTTGGGTCTTTAATTAACAGAAAGTAGGCTGCTCTTCTATTCTCTCAGATATTCCCCATCTATGTATATCCTATTTGCCCTTCTTTCTCTGTCCTCTTCTTTTCATGATCTCACTTCATTTGCTCATATCCTAGTTTCTGCTCTTTTTTAGGGTAAAATCAATGAAAAACTCCTATTTAAAAATTTTATATTATTCAGAAGGATTTAAATTCGAGTTTCGGTACTTTTTTATGTATGAAATCTTATAAAATATCAATATTTTCCGTGTATACAAATATAACATGTCCTCTTGATCAATAAAATTTCTGAATAGAAAGTTTTCATTGATTTTTCCCTTTTTAACGAGTGAAATATTCTGATTAGTAATTAAACACAATAAGTCTGTAAGTTTACATACGCCTCCATTCGTGTGAGGGTTAATGGAAATCCGAATAGAATCTTGTCTCGGTTTCTGTTGTCTTCCATCCCAAGCAAGTTTGATTTGTACTAAATTTTTATGTACTCCTTCTGTCTTTTTCGTAACAGATAAATAACTGAATTATATAAAATAAAAAGTAATTAAGACTAATTAAATATAATAAACATGACAAAAAATATCACTTATTTTCTACAAAAACTTTGAACAAATAGGATAATTGATGCAAGAATCTAACTAATAAATAATAATTAATGGGAGTGAAAATGAATAACACTAAAAATTTCAAATAATCTATTAGCATACATACTTATAAGTGTTTATCAACTATTTAACAAATAGATAACTGCGTTGGTTAGAATATTGCGGTTAAAAAACTCATTGTAACAGTACCTCGTATTTAATTGCCCCAAAGAAAAAACGTTGTTATTT